CATATTGCAATCGCCAAGATCTTTGTTGGATACTTCGTTGCGGTAAGTTTGTAACATGAAGAAACCTTGATTACAAAACTTTTACTGAATATTGAAGTAGTAAATTGTGTTTTTCTAAAGGGGTTTCTCGGGCTAAACCTTCCGTAATACCTACAAAAGCTCCATTTTTTAGGGTTCCGTAGTGACAAGGAACCCTTATCTGGTACCTGTAACATGAACACATTTTTTTTGGTGCGTATTTCAGACGAAAACTATTATAAACCTACTACTTTACATATATTTTGTGAAAGGATTTGAGTCTCTGTTATCAATTTTATTTTCACAATAAAAGTATATAATCATTTAGCAATAACAATCAATAAATCAGAAACTTTGGAATATAAAAATAATAGGTACTTTATTTTAAGATGTACTACGTGGAAAGGACGCTATTTTCTTCATAAAGAGCTTTTAATTTGTGTAGGTATTTTAATGTCTTTCCTGGTTAAGAAACTGCCCTTAAAATATGAACATTACAAAGAATTACTCATCTCAAGAGGATGAGATGCATAAAGATGTTATCTTTACCGCTATCAAAAAGCACGTCTGCAGATTGTCAGTTTGAGATGTGCGGTTGAAAAGTAAATACTTGTATGTAAATACACGTCATATCTTACACCAGAACGTGACGGAGGAGTGCAGAGAACATTGTCGGGAATCCAAGAGGTAGGCGAACCGTGACCCGACAACGATCGCATTTGTGTGCGAAATGCACTGGCTTGCCTTTTGCGAATGTTGAGCGTGACGACTTATGACCTGAGCTACCTAACGATGATTTGCATGAAAGCAGAAGAAATTTATAATATAATTGGACACCATCGACATGCCCGTATTTTGAAATAATCCTACCACAATGTAGCTGATTCCGTGGATTTTATAAATATTTAAATTGCTTTGTTCGAAGCTAAGGAGATAAATCTTGAGGTAAAGCTTTCGCGGCATTTAAGTTCAAAGAGGATTCGGTTACTAGACTCCCGATAGTTCACAAAATAGATCACTTTTAGAAAGCGGGTCGCTGGATTTCTTCAGTTCCTTTAGTACGGGACAGCGATATTCGTCAGTACCTATTATACAATATTAATTTTATACCGCCTACTTTATTTTTAGTTAAGCCCTAAGGTTGACTTGAGGAAAATGCCGAAAGGCATTAAGTCCGCCTTATACAATGTTTTATGAGCATTTAATTTTAAAATAAATAAATAAATATTTTTGTTCACTTTTTTAGCTGCAGTCTTAGGCTGAATTGCACCACCTAATTTTGACCGTAACTATAACGTTAACCGGTGTTTTTGTATGGAATTTGACAGATTTTTGACGTTTTTCAAAGTTAAAGTAAGATGGTGGTGCAATCCAGCCTTACAAAAGTAGGTAGGTACTTAGCAATAATAGCAAAATAGCATCTATCAAAATTACATTCATTTTGCAGTAGGCAAACAGTCCCTGACTTCATATCCAGGGCCGGATTAACCATCTCGGGGCCCCTAGGCACAGCTCGTTTTGGGCCCCCCTTTTTTTTGTCGCGGAGGAAATGATTTACGCACCGTCACCACTACCGGGGAACAGGGTGGTGTGTGGGACTCCTGGCGCCCTAAAAAGGGAAAAGGACGGGGTATACCCACTAAAACCTCCGCGGCGTTCCGTCGTAGCCCGAGTGGGGGGGTCGCGAGCATCCGGCCGTAGCCTTAGACTTCCGCGATACCACGCTACAGTGACAGCTCGCCTACACGGCAGACCCTACACGCCCCCGCATCCCCGGCCTGCTGGCCGCCACCTGGGGGCAGAGTAGAACGGTCGTACAACCGCCTTCTCCGGCCCCTTCTCCGCCTGCGGAGCGATGGGGCGAGAGGATCGTTCTCTCGCTCGCGCTCCGCTGCCTCCTTCTGAAGGATGACCTCTTCGCAAAAGGAGGCGACCACCTTATAGCATCCTTCACTTCCCAGCATGGCGATGACCAGGCTCGGAAGCGAAAGATCCCGGCCCACGACCGCAGTGAGGACACGGCGCTGCTCCTCCCAGCCTGTGCCGACCGCGAGGGTGTGCTGCACCGTGTCATCCGCCGCGCCACATTTGTGGCACACGGGGATTCCTCTCGCCCGATTCTTTGCAGGTACGAACCGAAGCAGCCATGCCCGGTCAGCACCTGCGCCAGACGGAACGTGAGAAACCCGTGCGGTCGGTCCAACCATTAGTCCAGAACAGGACCAATGGCGGCCAAACTGCGCGCGAGTCATGTCTTCGTGACGGCGCCGCACCGTTCCGGGGCCGGGCGCTTTCCACGCGCCTTCTGGTCTGCCATCCAGTGATAGATGACAGACAAGACCCCAGCTTCTAGTTCCCAAGGAGGAGTACCAGCGAGGACGCACGTCGCAGCGTGCCCTACCGTGCGGTAGGTCCTTGCGATCCTCTGTGCTATGGCCCGCTGGGGTCTGCGCAGAAGGGCAGCATTCTCCCTCTTGTTGAGTGCGTCCGCCCAGACTGGGGCGCCATACAGCGCCATGTTCCTCAGAACGCCGGCATAAAGTCGACGACACCTCGTTTGTGGCCCTCCCAAATTCGGGAGGAGCCAACTCAGTGCGCCGGCTGCCTTGAGGAGGCGTAGCGCTAGCCCGTTGAAGTGCGGGCTAAAATGCCACCTCCCGTCAAGCGTGAGGCCCAGATATTTCATTTGGCCTTTGACGTCAATCCTGGACGTCCTCAACGCGTCGGGAGGGGCGCGCTGGCGAGGCCCCAGAAAGAAGAGGGCCTCAGTCTTCTCCAGCGCGACTTTCAGACCGAGGCGTCGTATTCTGCGAGCGATTAATGTGCCGCCCTCCGACGCCAGCCGTGCCGCGGCCCCAAATGTCTTCCCCGGGCAGTGACCAGAGTGTCATCCGCATAGCATGTGACACACATGCCCGCGAGAAGGACGCCCCGGAGGAGCCAGTTGAGGCCTAGGTTCCACAAGAGTGGACCGAGCACTGAACCCTGCGGAACCCCGCTGGCTACACCGCGCCGTTTGAGCTGGCCGTCTCTGTTAACATACAGGACTTCGCGGTCCCGTAAGTAATCGGCCAGCAGCGCTCAAAGGTACTGAGGCACTCCGTGATGTTGAAGTGCCTAGAGTATGGTGGAATGAGGGAATTGAAAGACCATTGAAAGCGTTGGCTATATCGAATGATACAACCAACACACCCTCAGCCCTCTCCCTAGCCTCCGCAGTGAGGCTTTTTAGCCTCTGAAGGGCGTCGAACGTCGACCTGTCATGTAAACCAAAGCAGTACCTAATGCCAACGTCACGAAAATTAATTAGGTTCCACAATATCAAAATATGACGATTGATAGTGTAAACCAAAATAAGGCGAAGTTTTGAGGTGGTTTGAGTTTTGTTGCATAAAAATAATCTTTAAAATTTTTTTTTCATTTTTTTATCGGGAGTGCTGGGCCCCTGGTCATAGTGGGCCCCTGGCCATAGTGGGCCCCTAGGCACTGGCCTAAAGTGCCTTATGGATAATACGGCACTGTTCATATCAATTGACAGTACTTACTAAACGTTTTTGATAATAGGTATGACTTAAATTTATGTTAGTTTAAGTTTATATTTATGGATATATTGTAGATAGGTACTTAAGTGTCATTCGCATGTAATAAATATAAATAACCTAAGACATCAGAAGGTGCAATAACAAAAGCATTCCAAGTTTAAGGTAATATCTTAAATTATTTTAATTTACTAGCAGCACATACAGGTCACGTGCTTTTTGTCCCAAAAAGTAGTGACAAGCCGAAGCCCTGAGGTAGAGCATCACGAGGGCTATCCAAATCACCCCTATGTATGTTCCGCGATTTCTGAAAGTTTTCGAGAAATCTCTCTAACAAACTTGATAAATCAAATGAAAGGAAAACCATAAAATCATTAATTATTTTAATTATTTACAGAAAATTGTATGGTATAATCTTTGAAATGCAGTTTTCTTTCTTTTCAAAAATTAAGGAATGTTTTCTTTGAATAAAATTTTCTATCTACAGTATTAAAAGTACTTTCCCTCCAGGGTGGCATTACAAAATTCCACCCTGTATATTATAAGCTTATTAATAGGACATATTACAGTAAAAACACTTTTGAGGCTGTCATCAGAAAATAATCATTAGATTAGAATTTTAATGGTAATGTAATTGCTATGCAAAATTACCGGCAAAGGTTAGAGTTCACAGTTGCATTTCCCTAATAACCTTTACGTATGGGCAAGACATTTTAAGGTGTTTACCTTCTTATTTAACTTAACCGATGGATGTAGCAATATTTCAAAACAGAAGATTCATCAACTATGCATCTCTAGTATGAGTATGGAACGTTTAGTATCAATTATTTTTAGTCTTAGATTTCGAATATTAGTTATTAACATAGTCATCATGGAAGTCAACTAATAACTACAAATTAAAATCGGAACAGTATGGAATTTTGGATATTATAAGAAAAATTAAAACACGGTTACTAAGTTAGTGTTATATTACGTCTTAGGTTGCCTATTGGCAGATATGGTCGTTGACGAGTGAAAACCTCGTAGGTAAGTCGTTTTTTTACCAAAAACACTTTTTAATTTAAAAAGTAGAAAACCTCTTAACGCACATTATGAGTTCACCTATATTCGAATGGGATGATTGTAGTTTCATCTATCGCGTCCCATCTACTCGTAAAAATATTCAGGAGAGGGTTCTTTGTCTCTCCTGAAAAAAATTGTTTTCGATACTCTCGAGGTTTTCACTCGTCAACAATGATATAGAGCTCCTTAAGTAAGTACTGCTATCAGTAAGGAGTTCAACAAGTTGTAAAAACTAAATTACTATTTCCAACTACCACTAACTACTATCTGGATGAATCCATGAAATAGATACCTACTAGGTATTTCGTTAGATTAAAAAATTTTAAGCTTGTACCCTAGCCAGGTAGTTAACTTAAATAATATAAAAATGCATTATCTCACCATCATTTTGCAAAGGGCTGAGATGGCTGGTTGCTGGATGCAGTCACAGGCACAAACAGTACGGGTGTGTGCTCAGTGACACTGCATGGTGTTTATATACCGGCTTGTTTACCTATGAACTTCGTGCGACCCGTGAGTGCATCCCGCCAATGCATCTCGCAAAACCTCGCGAAAACAAGCTTATGCGCCGCGGATAAAGTGTAATATCGGGAAATTATCCAAAAGTCACACAATGTTTACAAATCGGTGCGAGTATTTAAACAAGTAACTTTAAAAACGCGTTTCTCCTAGATTTTAAACTCAATCATCAAGACTGAAGCGATTTTTGTGCAATAGTGATCGATTGTTTGTTCATTTCAACAATTCCACTGCTGGACAATAAGATCACCAGACTGGCCTCACCTCACCCAAAGATATTTCACAATAACCGGTCCTGCAGAGCCCGCAGGTGCTTCCTTCCTTCATCAAACTACACGTGCAATACCGAGTCTTCCAGTGACATGGCCCACTTTCAGCTTAAACATTTAGTACGATAGCACCCCGGCACCACGACGCGATGTCGTGTTCATCCTGTAGTGTCGACCGTCTCTGTGGTCTAGTGTTTCAGACCCAGAGGTCCCGGGTTCGATTCCCAGTGGGGTCAGATTTTTTTTTAATTTGGTTGGTACCAGTGTTACCTTACCACCACCATCTTACCTTTAGTTTACCTACCTACGTTCAGTTTTACGCCATAACAACATTGTTAACAGCATTTTTGTGTTACAGCCGTTACAAGTAAGCCAGTTTCTCTGTGACTAAGCTTCACCCGGAGGTGATGAAGCTCGCTTCCATCTTCGGCCTGATCACCCCTTCCTTTACATTAATCTAGGTAGGTAGGTATTACAAAAAGTTGAACGCTGATTTAAATTGACATTTAATATGGAAACTTTCGTCCCGGGCTTAACTATTTTGTAATAAGGCCCTTTATGCTGCTCTATCAACTTTTGAACTAAGCAAAGCAAAGCTTCTTTATATCTAACTAGCTGACCCGGCGAACTTTGTTCCGCCTTAATGGCAATAAATAAGCAGACTTTTTTTTTAATTTCGAACGGGATAAAAAGTATTCTATGTCCTTCTCCTGGCTCTAAACTACCTCCCTGACAATTTTCAGCTAAATCGGTTCAGCCGTTCTTGAGTTATAAGTGGTGTAGCTAACACGACTTTCTTTTATATACAACGTGTCCCAAAATTCAAGGATAAGCCGGCGCCGCAGGGTGGACATAGTCATGACTGCTTTAGGAAAAATAAGAAAAAAAATCTATCTCAATTATTTTTTAAGTTACACAATAAATTATGAAATTCGTCGAAAATTGACAACCCTTATGATATTTTACATTACCACGACTACAATTTTTCAAATACTTCATTTTTTTTGTTTGTATCGGCAACTTAAGTAGTGCTGCTGTCCACCCCAATTCTTAAAACCCTCAGAATCCTTGCAGTTTTTACACAAAAGTTAATCAAAATATGATATTTCCTTAAAATTTTAAACGATTTTTACTTACACTCCACTTTGACTCGTCGTTTTGTAAAAAAACAGTATGAACACTACTGCGGCAAGTTTTTTATAAAGTTGACGCAACTATCCAAGATTCCGAAATGGTATAATACACTAAGAAAACTAGTCGCAAAAAAGATATGCGTACCATTTTTACAAGCACTTCGCTTGTTAGTTAGTATGGGATAAATCTTGCAACTGAATTTAAAACCAGTTCTCCTTAACCAATTGAGCTGAAATTTGGTATACTTGTGTAAGTACGATGACAATGCAATATTATGGTACCATTGAGCTGGATGGAGTATGGAGGTGGCCATAGGAACTCTTAACGAAACGGCGGAATTACATCTAGTTTGGGTTCGTTGGACTTGTCTTTTCGAGCACTTTAGTGCTAGATGATGTTCAGGGTCCTGATGATGAAGTCAAGAGGTGGCAGGAGCTGGCCATAGGAACTCCTAAACGAAACGGCGGAAGCTTATCGAGTTTGGGTTCGTTGGATTTGTCTTCCCGAGCACTTAGGCCATGAGATTGAGAAACAACTAAAAAGCTTAAAATAAAGTTGTAATAAAAAAAACTTATTTAAAAACAAGCTTGACTTCGTTTGAAAATTATAATTGACTTCATCATCAGGACCCTGGACATCATCTAGCACTAAAGTGCTCGAAAAGACAAATCCAACGAACCCAAACTCGATAAGCTTCCGCCGTTTCGTTTAGGAGTTCCTATGGCCAGCTCCTGCCACCTCTTGACTTCATCATCAGGACCCTGATCATCGTCTAGCACTAAAGTGCTCGAAAAGACAAGTCCAACGAACCCAAACTAGATGTAATTCCGCCGTTTCGTTAAGAGTTCCTATGGCCTCCTCCATACTCCATCCAGCTCAATGGTACCATAATATTGCATTGTCATCGTACTTACACAAGTATACCAAATTTCAGCTCAATTGGTTAAGGAGAACTGGTTTTAAATTCAGTTGCAAGATTTATCTCATACTAACTTACAAGCGAAATGCTTGTAAAAATGGTACGCATATCTTTTTTGCGACTAGTTTTCTTAGAGTATTATACCATTTCGGAATCTTGGATAGTTGCGTCAACTTTATAAAAAACTTGCCGCAGTAGTGTTCATACTGTTTTTTTTACAAAACGACGAGTCAAAGTGGAGTGTAAGTAAAAATCGTGCAAAATTTTAAGGAAATATCATATTTTGATTAACTTTTGTGTAAAAACTGCAAGGATTCTGAGGGTTTTAAGAATTTGGGTGGACAGCAGCACTACTTAAGTTGCCGATACAAACAAAAAAACGGAAGTATTTGAAAAATTGTAGTCGTGGTAATGTAAAATATCATAAGGGATGTCAATTTTCGACAAATTTCGTAATTTATTGTGTAACTTAAAAAATAATTGAGACAGATTTTTTTTCTTATTTTTCCTAAAGCAGTCATGACTATGTCAACCCTGCGGCGCCGGCTTATCCTTGAATTTTGGGACACGTTGTATATATAGATGATAGAGCTGAATAATACAGTCCAGTTCAATAAATTTGAGTTTGAGATTGCTTCTTCACAAGTACTCTGACCAACGCCTGCTAACTTATTTACTACTCAATCACTTAAATGAAATATTGCTCTTACATTCGTAGGGAAAGGGTTCTTGTCGGTTCTGGTCTGGCACACTTGCGCGAAACATTTTCGCGAAGACACTAGCGCGAAGCCATTTGCGCGCATGGACACTTGCGCGAAAAGACGTTTGCGCGAAGACACTAGCGCGAAAACAGTTTTTGCATTATTATTAAGTAAGTATTTGATGTGTCTTTCTGCTTATCTTGCATTATAACTCCCTGAAGGACTGAAGCGATTTCGATTTTCTTTTCTCGCTTGTACCTTGAAAACTTTATTGCTCTTTTGCTGTTTTGCTCAATCAGAATCATTAGGTACCTGGCTCCACGCAGATGATTTGTTATGACGACTTTTGCGCTTTTTATTACAGTGCTTGCAAACTTTACGAACAACAACTCTCTTCTTGGGTTAGAAGCATTTTCAGATCCGTCCGTGTCCATTACCGAACCTTCTGTGTCCATACCTGACTGGCCACATGTTGTTAAAGTAACAAAATTAGACGCCTGGCGGGTTGTCATTGTTGAGATGCCAGAGAAAAACAATCAAAACTCACCCAGAACTGCAGAGGTGAATGACACTATGATAAAATTATAAAAATATAACTTAAAATACTAGTTATTTATGCACTATACCACCATTCTGATCCTTTAATTAATTTAAAAAACAAGAGCAAGAAAAATTAGGTCCACCAAGTACGTTTCCCGTGCTTTTCGATGAAAAATTTTTTGACGTTTATTTATCTTATGTCAGTCATGCTATTAGCTATGTATAAAGAAGTTAAATTCATTTTAAATGAGGGTTTTCGCGTATGAAATATCCGCTAGATGGCGGGACGTGGATGTGGGGTCTGACTGATGCGTGATTGGTGGATTTTGACATTATTATCTGTCAATTTCATGTCAAAAATAACCAATCATGCAGAATTTGGACCTCGCGTCTACGTATTGCCATCTGGCGGATTTTTCATACGCGAAAACCCTCATAGGAACTATATCAGGGGACTATTCTCAGCCACCCATTGTTCATGGTGGTGCTTATTTCTGAAAATCATCAGAGCACCAGGTGTAAATTAATTGCTAGTTTTATTAACAATATTATTTAATGTCAGTAAAAATAAAATAACGATTTACAGTACAGTAGTCTGCCGATATAAAATAGAATTATTTCTTTCTAATTACAAAATGTAAACAATAAAAAATATATGTACCTAGGTACTCAATAAAGTTGTGTAACTTATTAAATATTTTTTTACATAAAATGAGCATTGAGTAAAATAATTGTGGGTTTATTTACACTGCTTATCTAACAATGTAATAATATTTTGTAACAAAACTTATTTTTATAAACTTAATTTTAAAAAGTATGTATTTAATAGAGATGAAACGGATAGTTGTTTGGCCGGATACCGGATACCGGATATCCGGCCAGCTGCTAGGCCGGATAGCCGGATATCCGGCGGCCGGATAGTTGGCCCATTGTCTCGTTACATGTCGTGACGAGTTTAACGCCGCACAGGTGCTTCGAACGCGATCAGTGGGTCTATTGTAGACTAGTCACACTTTTCGAAAATCGAATCAGTCCGAATAGAATGTCAGATTTTGCAACTTGTCTAAGGGGCAGATCAATTCGGGCGATTTCGGTTGCCATCGTGAGGGTGTTATTGAATAGCGAAAATTAAATTAGTTTCCTTGCTGGCGAATGTGACGAATCTGACTGAACTGCATCATGACATCAGACCATCAGACCATCAGTGAAAAAAGATGGCTTTTTATTTGGCAATATTTCGACTTATAGCCTGACCAGCAACATAAAAACCCTGGCATAGAGGCGCGTCAATTGCATTTGATAGTGCAACACTGAGTACAGTCGTACCTGTGTTAAATTAATAGGCTAACTTTATGTATCAGGATTCAGGATTACGGGCTAATTTGATATTTTCCTAAATTAACGAAAAAATATTATTATAGGTAACCTGGTTTAAATAAATTAAATGAAACCATCAATCGAGCTTGTAGGTTTATTATTCATCAATAATCAAATTCAGAACTTGAATATTCAACTGCAATGTTTGCTCATGAACGCTTCAAACTCGGTACTTCTTTCCCAATTCCATAAAATTCAACACTTGGAAAGTGACAATTTTTTTTAAAATAGGTAGTTGAAACAAACCACAGCTAATTTTCATAGTGGACTGTACTATGCGATAAACATGTCAGTCAATTTGACAACCTTTGTCGGAAACATTATTCAATGAAAATATTATCCGAACCCTTAGTATTTCTCTTCGACAAATACTTTAACACATTGTGAACCACTTTTTCACGACTACTCGTATAAAAAGATTTTAGCAATTTAATTCACAAAATCAATTGCGCACATTTAAAATAAAGTTTGTTTACACTTTGACAGCAATAGACTGACATGCAAGGTGACATGTCAATGAAGTTTTCAGTTACTGTTGCCATTAAAATAAATTAGTACCATTAGTTTTCCGCAACATGGCGAGGGTTTTTATGTTCCTGGTCGGGCTATAACATATTTAATATTTATGAATTCGTCATTAGAGTGAATAGCCCAGAAAAAGAAATTAGTTTTTTTAAAGATCTTAATATGGCTTTTTGTAACTTTTGGACTCTAAATAAAAGCCGTCATTATTATAAGCCATTTTATTGATGTTTACCTCAAAGATTAATGTATTTTCTTTTATTAATAGGAAATTAATATCGTAGTTTTTTAATATCCGGTATCCGGCCGGATAGTGAGTTACTATCCGGTATCCGGCCGGATAGTAAATTAAGGCCGGATATCCGGCCTACCGGATAGTTACCGGATATCCGTTTCATCTCTAGTATTTAACTCTGTAAAAATATAGTCTTAATATCGGGAAAATCAAAATTAATTCATTTGAACTATAAATTCTGGCATAATGAAAGCTAAGTCTAAGTTGTAATTATTACGAGATTTCCAGTAAGATAATAGAATATGGCTATGTATGATTTTGACTTAGCATTCCAGTCTCATGAGATGAGTAAGGATTATTTTTAGAGATGAAACGGATAGTTGTTTGGCCGGATACCGGATACCGGATATCCGGCCAGCTGCTAGGCCGGATAGCCGGATATCCGGCGGCCGGATAGTTGGCCCATTGTCTCGTTGCATGTCATGACAAGTTTAACGCCGCACAGGTGCTTCGAACGCGATCAGTGGGTCTATTAGTAGACTAGACTAGTCACACTTTTCGAAAATCGAATCAGTCCGAATAGAATGTCAGATTTTGCCACTTGTCTAGGGGGCAGTTCAATTCGGGCGATTTCGGTTGGCATCGTGAGTGTGTGATTGAATAGCGAAAATTAAATTAGTTTACTTGCTGCGTAATCTGACTGAAGTGCATCATGACATCATTCAGACCATCAGTGAAAAAAGATCGCCTGTTTTATTTGGCAATATTTCGACTTAACAGATATTTACTATTTATGTATTCGTCATTAGAGTGAATAGCCCAGAAAAAAGAAATTATGTAGTTTTTTTAAAGGCCTTAATATGGCTTTTTGTAACTTTTTGGACTTTAAATAAAAGCCGTCATTAATTTAAGCTATTTTATTGATGATTACCTCAAAGATTAATGTATTTCATTTTATTAATAGGAAATTGTCATAGTTTTTTTAATATCCGGTATCCGGCCGGATAGTGAGTTACTATCCGGTATCCGGCCGGATAGTAAATTTAGGCCGGATATCCGGCCTACCGGATAGTTACCGGATATCCGTTTCATCTCTAATTATTTTATTTTTAATGAACCTCAGTAATGTCCCCCATTTTCTTCAGGTCTGGTGATACATTGAACTCACAGCCCGTGCTCACAAGAATATCTTCAACTGTGACTCCATCGGCCAGTTCGGTTAAGATCAGACCCTTTTCCTTGTCCACTTCAAACACACACTGAAAATAATATGGAAATTTTAAAACATTCTGGAACATAAACTTCAATCACGGCATTATAAATCAATCCGCCTGCCTTACAAAAAATATTTATTGTAGTAATGAGTTTATAACATACCTTTTCAGTAATAATCATATCCACACAGTTCTTTCCTGTGAGTGGCAGTGAACACTCAGGAAGAATTTTGTGACTTCCATTTTTAGCAGTGTGCTCCATTGTAACGACAACTTTTGTACGTGGCGCCGACACTAGATCCATAGCTCCACCCATGCCCTTTACCATTTTCCCCTAAAAATTCAATAACCAAATGTTACATAAACACCTAAATAAATTAAGGAAATAGAATAACTTATGAACAATATTAATTACCGGAATCATCCAGTTTGCAAGATCACCAAACTGGGAGACTTGCATAGCTCCAAGTATAGTCAAATCAATATGACCTCCTCGAATCATTGCAAAGCTGTCATCAGATGAGAAATAGGACGCTCCTGTAAAAAAGGTACAATAAAATTTCAATGTGTATTTAACATTTTATTTCTCAGAACTTTAGAAAGTCAACTTACCAGGAACTACAGTCACAGTTTCTTTTCCAGCGTTAATCAGATCTGCATCCACATTTTCTTCAGTAGGGAAGGGTCCAAGTCCAAGGATACCATTTTCAGATTGCAATAAAACTTTCACATTTTTAGGTATGTAGTTACTGGCCAACATTGGCATACCTGCAATAATTAAAAAGAGGAATTAACCTGAGTTTCTGTACCACAAAAAAGTCACTATTTATTCCAACTTGGTATACTCTATTTTCATCAAAAAGTAATTTTTTCGTACCAATTCCAAGGTTTGCATGCATTCCATCCTTAAATTCCAGTGCAACTCTTTTGATTATTCTCTCTCGCATCAAATCTGATGCTTTCTTCTCCTTCTGAGACTCAGGTTTGGTGACTGTTCTTCTCTCTATTCTTTTTTCGAATTTATTGCCCTTGAAAATTCTGTGCACAAATATTGATGGTACATGAACTGTATCAGGTTCAATTTCATCGACAATTTCTTCAACTTCAGCTATGGTTATACGTGCAGCTTTACACATGGCAGGGTTAAAGTTACGGGCACTTTTCCTGAAAATCAGGTTACCATGCCTGTCAGCTTTCCATGCCTTGACTAAAGCAAAATCACCTGTGATTGCTTCTTCCATAACATAATCATTACCATTGAATTTTTGAACATGACGAGCCGAACTCTGTATATCAATCTGAAATCATAATTTGGGTGTTAAAGATGTATAAACTACTTGACATACAAGTTATTAAATTGTTTTGGTTTTGTTCTCCTTAACTGTAGCATTGATTTACTTATCTACACTAGCAAAGTATAGTTAGATAAGATAATAAATATTGATTTATTTTTATAACATTCTTTTACCTACTTTGCCATCTTTACCATACTTGATAGGTGCTCCACCTTCTTGAATAAGGGTACCATATCCTGTTGGTGTAAAAAAGGCTGGTATACCGGCACCACCAGCTCGGATTCTTTCAGCCAATGTTCCTTGAGGAGTCAACTCAACCTATTTAATAGAAACAGTAAAAAGTTAATCGGAGAAAATGTATTTTAGTCAAAAGAATCTTTGGTAAATTAACTACCTCTAACTCTCCTGTTAAATATTGTTTCTCAAATTCAGCATTTTCTCCAACATATGATGAGATCATACGCTTAATCTGCTTACTCTTCAGTAATATACCCAAACCAAAGTTCTCAACACCTAAAAATTGATGTTAGCTTCAATATTAATTCAATTCAATTGTATCAACTAGTGATTGACTAAGAAAGTAGGTACCTGCATTATTAGAAACTACTGTAAGACCAGTAACGCCCCTTTTGTTCACAGCTTGAATCAAATTTTCTGGTATTCCACACAGACCAAAGCCACCAACCAAAAGTTTTGACCCATCTTTAATATCACCAACTGCTTCAACTACATCCTCGTAAACTTTAGTGTTTCTACTTGAAGTACTGTACTTTGCACATGACAAAGGCTGAAAATGCGCAGTAATGTACTGAGTTAATTATAATTCAACAAGTTAATTAACAAACACCTATCGAAAACAAAATACGATCTTACCTTGACAACATCGAAGTTATGTCTTTTTGGTGCTCCGTATGTGTTAAATTTCAATCTAAGCACTAGATTTCGTCCTAATGACGTCATTACCATTTTATTAATTTGCTTTTATATTGCAAATAGATCACTCTGATCACTTTCGCCGGCTATGGTTGTTTTGCTTGTCAAACGTCAAATAAACAGCTGACCGTCAACACTCCACAGCAGACGAGGGTGAGGTGAAGAACACCCAAAATGTATATTTTAATTTTTTTAAATCAAGAGTTCTTCACACTGTAACTACAGAAGATAAAATGATAAGAAACTAAGCGAAAATGTGTTTGTGTCGAGTTCTCTCAAGGTCAACTGGAATGTAATCACTTTGCTTGTACATATTTTGCTCACCCAGTGAGTATTCAAATTAGATAATAAAATCTTAACTCGTTGCGTTGCCTCAGAATAATGTAGCTACTTCGGTAGATTACGTATGTAGATACACTTATACTTACCTACTTATTATGAATTCATTCTCTCATAATAGAAAAAAAAAAATCTTATTGGGATAAAGTAAATAAATCAATCAATCTTACTACCATTATTTCCTTCTTCCCGAATCGAATAAGGCTTATGCCACCCAGTAGTGTGTTGTTGCGACACAAGAAACTTGCAAAGTTAAACTAAGTAGGTAGGTAGGTAGGTACCTACCTAATCCATCCATTCATAAAATAGGTACTTACTTAATGAACTTCAATAAATCAAAAGCTTGTAGGTAAGTAGGTACATTTATTTTATTTTTACTACGTACACACACGCCCACACTGTTAACTATCCATTTCCGTTTTTGCTCTCGCTCTAATCAAATGGCGATTCTTTGCGATAGAACGAGATGACATGACTTTCAATGGGCAGTTAACACTGTTGGCGATAGTACAAACGTTACATAAAAATCGGGATTGAATGATTTAATTCAAAAACAATCTTTTTTGTTTTAATAAGTACTTACCTACTTCTAAAGGATTTTTTAAATAAGTAAGTTGACAGTTAATGATGACTTTTAGTATTTAAAATGGGTAGTTTTAATTTCTCGCACCTTTTCCTAGCTGCTCCGTGAGCACGTAGAATTTTGTCCAATGACCCCAAGCTACCTATTCTTATCGCTCGCGCGTAATTGTAAAGAGTTGTATTTGTGTTCAAATAAAACGTTCCATTAATATAACATGTGTTTTATTTCAAATCATTCAATCCCAAACGTTTATGTATTTCATTTACTGTTGTCCCTTCTAAATTTGCTATGTGATTAATAACTATTTGTGTGGCATGGCATCTTATATGTCGTTGTATTGGTGCAAAAGCAAAACTTGAATTAATTTATTATTTTCAAGTAATTTGCTTATTTCCATTTCTAATTGTAGTATTTTATCATAAGTTGCCTGTTGTTTGTTGGCCATCTCACCATCTGTAACGAAAATGACATTAATATTTAGGTAGGAACACAACACTGACTTTGCGGGACTGAGGGTCATTGGACAAAATTCTACGTGCTCACGGACCAGGCTTTAGACAATGTAAGTAGTTGAAATAACTTATTTTATGGTAGGTAGGTAGGTAGAATACTAGTATGTAGACATTATAGGANAACAATCATTGTTAATCGAGTAGAAGTTTGTTAGATCTTTTAAATAAAAAATAATTGAAAAAATAATCAATTTTAATATAATTTAACTTTAAATTCACATAGGTGTTCTAATAATTAAGCATTTGGAGGAAGGCTAATCTCTCCTACTAAAATAACAATTTGATTTAACATCTAGTGACTGTTATTTTTATAGAAGCTACATACACAAATTTCAATTAATATATTTTTTTCAATTTTATTAAAAGGCTACTAACCGTAGACTTTAGTATTTAATAGCTACATAAAATGCACTTTACTACTAATAAAATAAGTAGGCAGATGTTATTCAGGAACAGGAGAAAATCATAATAATAATCTTATTTACATAATTTAAATGACCAATATGACCATAATTATGTGCTATACTGACGGTTACCATGTGGGCTTAGGACTATAGGTAATTTACGCTCAATATTTTCATTGGCATGTGAGGCGACTTACCCTACAGTGGCGCCAACCTGACCAGTACAAAATATGCTACTCAGTAGTTGGCGTCACTATTATAACCACTTGAGATTTGCAAGTGACAGTCCTTTCTTAGGCTGGATTATATCCATCTGCAGTGTTTTGTTGCTCGTAACGCATCAGAAGAAATTTGTTGCATACTAAGGTTTCATACATTTAGTATGCGACACGTCCGAAGCCATCATAATACGACACTTATTGAACTAAATGTATGACACATCAGACAAATATAATAAGCCCGGCCTTACTCCTTTAAAAGCGAGTGAACGTACTAAGGAGGAGTAGCTGGTACTTAGGTACCTCTTACAGTTTCAGTATTATGTCAGTAACAGTATCATCATAATTAATTGTTTTTGCTAGTTGTGGAGATAACTTTATGTACCTCACTCTAAGTAGGTACGCACACACTATTACAACTAAAATGCGTGTTTGTTTTGTACTGTTTTAGATAATGCCAGTGAATTTTAAATACACTTGAAGCTCTGTAAAACATACATTGCATATTATGGGTAACGTACGTCTAAGTACCTGTACCTAGTTACCTACTTCTTCTAACAGTCACATTTTAAGGCACTTTTAATTATTGTACTTTTACAAAATCCATAAAAACAACCATATTAAACGACATTGCTTGTTTCCATTATTGTACTGATAATCACTTTTCATAGAACGCTAGATAAGTAGATACGTATTGATCATATCTACCTACATAAGGTAGGTATCTAACAATACCACCTTAGTATAAACATAAATTACTTACTTGACCTTATACTACCTAATACTCAATGTACCTTAATTATCACATAAAAGTATTTTACAGCACTTAAATATCAAATCTTTCCATTTAGATTTTTAGATAATATTCAATATCTTTATTCACAATCTGATAAGTTTTAATTAAAAAATTGAGTCTAACTAAGACGACCGGCTCTGGCATCTGTGATTACGCCCCACAGCTCTATAATGAACTCGTCGGTGAAGCCAAACTCCTGGAGATCACTGTTGTCGATTGCTTCAGCCAACTGCATGGAGTTGGTCTTTCCTTCTGATAGATCCCACATTTGTGACGCCAATTCTGAGTCGTTGATGCCCATGAAAGATTCCAGCAACCCATTAATTTTCTCTATGCCAGCCTTTGATTTTTCGTCGTGCTGAAAAAGCGAGAAAGTATTGTATTAGCACAGACCACTGTGTGTATTAGAATTATTGCTTGAAATATTTATATGAACATCATCTGCATGTATGCTTTATCCCGAAGTTCCGAGTGAATAGAAACGGACGGATATCTTAAACGGGTTTACTTAATTGTGCTCACTAGTTGGCGCCACTGGCCAGTAATGTCACTTGCTTGTTGGTGAGACAGTGGCGCCAACTGGTGATCGCAATTTTAAAAAATCCCTCAAAATAGACTTACGAGGCTGTGAACATTGATTGTCTTGGGGTTAGGATCGTCGTTATATTTAAATTAACTACCATAATCTAAGTTACCTTACATTCTACATAGTTCCTATGCTGCATGATCGATATTATTAAACATTAACATTTATAGTCTTACCTCATCTTCTATGGTGGCTTGTCCATTCGCCTTAAACCTTAAAGTTTCCTTTCCGGAACCGTAGTTTTGCTTCTTGCCGGCTCGGGCGCTGCTGGTTTTGGGTCCGATACTTCCAAAGCCGCTTTTGAGCGGCTCCACGAGTCGAATTATAAACGTTGTGCCTTTAGGAATGTCTTTCAAAGTCTTCGCGACCTCGTAATGCCGTTTCCCGACCATATTCTCTCCATCCAGCTTTTCAATGTGGTCTCCGACCTAAATGAAAGTAAATTACTTTTAATGCAGTAATGGTTAGCTTCCTCCTAAATTCTTAACAAGCTGAATAACTGTATTTTATCGTTACAGTTCCCTCTATTGTTGCTGTATCTGAAGTGAATGTAACTTAGTAGAGCGAAATAAAAACCAAAAATACATAATACAGTGTGTCCGGGCATGTAGTGATCAAACTTTTATGGGCGTAAATCTATGGACAATTTTATCGATGAAAATACTTGAAATTTGGGGCTTGAGCCATTTCTCGCAAAATTACAAAGATTTAAGTTTTTAATTTTTGGTATCCTTCCGTTTGGCCACATTACTTTTCGCCAAAGTTTCATTTCCCAAATGAACTTTTAGCAACTGTACTTTTCGCAACTAATTCATTTGGTCAAATTATCATTTGGCAAAATTTTACTTGGCAATAATGTTTCATTTTGCCAAATATTATATCCCAAATAATTTGTTTGGCCAAATTGACACTCAACATAAGTAAGTACGTACCCACCGTTACCCCACAAATCAAAGCATATCAAGGCAGATGATCATGGTTTTCACAAGAATTTTTTGTAAAACAAAGAGATTGCAGAAAATAGTATGGTTGCAGAAAGTAGGTATTGCAGAAAATAGTAGGTTAGGTTAGGTTAGAACAGTGACCCTAAGGCGGTTATCACACTGCGCCGCGCTCCGCCGCGGAGCGCGTGATTTTCATATAAAAAATCACGCGCGCGGACGCGTTGTCAGTGTGAAGTGCAGCGCGTGTTTTCTATACAAACTGAGATACTTGCATACAATGATTAAATCTGTCGTGTGTGTGTATCTGTGTGATAACCGCCTTAATGAGCTAGAATCACCTCTATGGTTAATGAATCATTTGGAAATTTCGATAAAAAGAATGAAATATGAAAATCAATTTAGAACAAATTTTATATTAACTACCCACTAAACAAAATAATAACCACAAGCTAATTTGTATTCCATTCTATACACCAATCAAATTATTTTGTAAATAGTTTATCATTAAATATTTTTACATAGTACATAGGTTAGGTACTTTGCCAAACAATAATTTGCTAAACAATAATATGCCAAAAACGACATTTGCGAATTAAAAGTTTGCAATAAGTTGTTTTGCTAAATAAGAATTTGCCAAATGAAAATTTGCGAAACGTTGTATGCGATGTGATAATTTGGGAAAAGTTTTTTAAAGGCCAAACATTAGTAATCCTTAATTTTTATTTTTCACCTCTTCCTTCAAAAACAAGTGAAAGCAAGTGGAACCGCTGGGAAGTGTATCTTTGTTCAACAATTAGGTACGTCGAAACAAATAGACGTACCTAGACTAATAAATTTACATCAGTTTTGTAGAATAGTTCAAATACTAATAATACAATGAAAAAAAATTATACTTCAACTACGTGGTTTTTCTTGTGTTGGAAAATAACTGAAAACAAGTGAAAAAAGTCATGTTTTTTTTTCTAATTAAATCCATTCTTACTCTATTAAAATGTATGAAACTTGTATCTGTTTTCTACTTCTACTAATAGATAATTTTATTGGCTATCGCATGATATAAAATATTTGCTTATTAGTGTTAAGTTACCCACGCTTTCACTTGTTTTTGAAGGAAGGGGTGAAAACTAACAATTAAAAACTTAAATCCTTATATTTTTGCGAGAAATGGGTCAAGTATTTTCATCTATAAAATAGTCCATAGATTACGCCCTTAAAGTTTGATCACTACATTCCCGGACACACTGTAATTATTGAGGTAAGTAGGAAGATAATACAAATTGAATGTAGGCTACATGCTTTTACTGTTAGGTGTTTCTTTAGTAATGTTCAATAGTTGACCATGTCTTTAAAAACATTTGTAACACAATAAATCTTACGAAATAAATAATTTTAGATAATTAATGTTGCCTTAATACCAAACTAACGTTACAAACTAGGCATGTAAGTTGGTATGTTTAATTTTCTAAATGAGGACTTTGCGACTCTACATTCGTTGTTATCTCCATTCTCTGACTCACCTCTATGTGTGGTATTCTCGAGACGATTGAGCCTTCCTTTATCCTCTTTATAAACGCATATCCGGCACCATTGTCTGTTATTGTTAATCCCAAGGCATCTTCTGTTTTCACAATTTCTATTTCTTTTGGTCGTCCTTTTCTATGGGCAAATATAAAATCTTCTAATCCTATTTGTCCGCCTAGAAGTTTCTTCATGTCAACTTTGTGGGTGTTGAGTGTGCAGAATAAAATCTGAAACCATAGAAATACGTTTCCGTTTAGTAAGTGGGTAGTAGAGTAAGTTAGTGGCGCATTTACCTAAGTCTGAATGGCTAACTACTTAATCTAATTTACTACGCCTCGCCTTCACATTGCGTGACTTTGATCTGATTTTTTTTCACAAAGCGGAATGTTAATTAGTTACCTATACCTATACACTGATTTATTTCTTTGTTTCTCTTCGTGACTATTATGGATTACACTACTAACGCTATCTTTTGTAACTGAGCAATAGTCGTCGTTATAATTTGGATAACGTTTTATAGCATGGACGGACCTAGTAGTTTATTCTTCTTCCAAGGGAGGGTTTACTTACTTCTTTACTTTCAACCTTTTTTTAGAGGCAATTTATAAGACATAAGCAGAACATTAGTGTCTGATAGAGTGATAGATAAAGAATGTAACACCCGTATCAGATACAATGTCGTGATATTCTGCTAGAACTTACAAATTAGGTTGATGAGTCAGTTTGTCTTCTACAAATGGAAATGTGTATCAAAATGTAAAGCGACTGTTACATTGTCTTCAGGCACTGTATGTAACCTGCCTACGACAGACTCTACATGAGCGCTGAAAACGCGCAAAGTAGGTACGATAATACTAACGTACTTAGGTATGATGTTATTGAATTAAAAAGCACATTATTTTGCATGCTTCCATAATCATATCGCTCACATCCACTCCTACTTAATCATAGGATGAGGTCATCAGGTTTGATTTTGGTACAGATTGTCGAGTATAATGAAAAATATAGGATACACCTACCTAGTATAGTTTTATTTACATTGTTTTATCAAACAATACCGGCCTCTAATTCACCTTGACATCTCAAATGCTTTACGTAGGTATTGGTTGGTATGGTAGCAACCAATTAAAAAAAAGAGAAAACTAGTAGGTAGTTACTTATACCCAATCTAAAAGCAGATTGATAGTCAATACTGGAAGTTAGGGCTTAATTAAATTATAAACAACATTTATCTTATACTTTATTCCTGTAAATAAGTAGGTAGTATACCTATTATCTACGACTTCAGAAAAACAGGTCTTTATTGTAAAAACAAGTTTGCTGGATGACAATCATTATTGAAATTCCTGCGAAGATAATAAGATTCCGAGTAGAGACACAATAATCAGTGCGATCGGTTTTGTTAGAGCTCTATCAGTTAGATAAAGATAAATTACAATAAGTACCCGCATTTAGAAGTTAATCTACATAATGGGTACACCTACCTGCCTGCGTTGTCATTCATAGGTTGTGGTGACATAAAAGTCATACTGTCTAGTAGAGACCTTACGAGTGAGTAATAGTAGATTACAATTAATTTAACAATGGTAAGCGGCACCTAGTAGCTCCTACCATAACCATTTAACAATGGAATGTTTAATAACACAAAACAATTGGGAATCGTAATAATTTCGAAAGACCTTAAGGCGCGTGCATTCGCAACGCGTGGTTCAGGTAAACATTGGTACAGGCTGACATTCCGGTCCTTGACCCTTCGTATACTGGGTCATCGTACAGCCGTCAGCCACACGCCGCATATGGCGGTATTCCACTTGCTTCGCTCAATTCATACGAGAGACTGCGCCCCTGGGCCGATTCACTTCCTGACTGCTCTGCTCAGCCGTGCGTGCTTCCGCACGTAGTGACATTTTAACAAGCTTACTTACATAAAATCAACATCATACATAAATAATAGAATACATGAATCATTTGGAACAGATTTCGTGGATCCAAATTAGTTAAGAGCAAAACCGGTCTAACCATATGAATTTAACAAAACCCACCAAAACATCGGGCCTTATTATTACAGGCGTGTAATTTAGGTTAGATATATTTTTACAGGATCTGAAGACAATGCAACAAATGATGTTTTTTTAAAACAAGTAAAAACGCTCTTACACTGTAGTCTACAGACTCTACAAAATGAAAGATGTTCCTTTCCAGAGATTTTATCTGACTACGCACCCACGCTTTAGTGTGCTAATTATTATTATTTGTTTNCCTATTATTTTTTATTCAATATCCGGAATCCATCATTGAGTTAGCACCTGTTTTTCTTACCTAAAGTCAGCTTTTTCGGTTCCTTTCCGATAGTGGCGCCCTCTGTAGTGTCGGTTTGGTACTACTTACTGGGCGCGCGAGCACCAGGTTGAGACTCGTCATTATAGCGTTGTTTTTCGCGCCGTTCACAAGTCAGTTTAGTTTCACTTGCAAAAAACATTTTTCAAATTAGTTAAATTACCTACTATATTTTTGCAAATTATAAGTTCCTTTCCGAAAATATGGAGAACTCTTCTCCAACGGGAGTGAATGCCGATGAAGAAAGTACTCGATCGCGGAAACGTGATCGNAAATCTTTCATAACCATTGAAGTCAAGGGTTCTTGCTTGAAGACTTTTTTTAATCATGTATGTCGGTATTATAAAATCAAAAATCAAAATAAAAAATAGTGAATATTATAATGACAATAATCGACTTAGGCTACCTAGTACCTACAAACTTAGGTTCTTGTTTGAAAGGTTTTAGCGTGAAATGA